ATATCCTTTCGCCCACGTTGCTCAAATTGCTGTTGTTGTTGTCGCAAACCTTGAAGCAATGTGGAAAAGGCAACAAATGGTTAAACACTCAGTTCCGACGGCAACTTAGGCCGGCTTGGCGCAGTTTCAGCTGTCAATGACATGAATTGCAAGCAGCAGGCAACAACAACAGCAACATGCAACAACAACTTGCAACCACAAACCGAATCCAAATCCAAATCCAAATCCGAATCGAAAGCCAAAGCCAAAGCCAAAGCTAAGCCAAGCTAAGCAATGCGACTGCGGCACATGTGCGCGCCGCCAAATCAAAACGTCAAATTATAATTGTCTACGAGTGGTTGAAGCGTTTTTTGTTTTTCCAAAATACCCTGTACTAAATGGCAATCGTTTTAAATGGGGTATATTGGTGCTTATGTCGGTGGTAGCAAACTTAGAGCAAGGAATTGCACAGGGTAAAAGGCAGAGTATATACGAGTTGTAGCTGCGATTATTGATAAATATGAATCGATTATAATAGAGAGGGAGAAAGAGAGAAGAGACAAGTGTGAGAGCAAAACGATATGTTTTTCAAACTATCGTGATTTAGCTTGTATCGATAAAATGAGAGAGAGAGAGAGAGAGAGAGAGAGAGAGAGAGAGAGAGAAAGTAAGAAGCTAAGAGTGTGAGAGAGGCCCGATTTGTTTTTCATAATATCGTGATTTAACTTGTATCGATAAAAGCTGCTTATCGATTGGTATATGTATCGATATTTTATTTTTTATATTTTATTCAGATTCCCAGTTCACTGCATCTTTAATTCAATATACCATCGGTCTTCTATGCCAATTCTGTATTAATTCTATGTATAAAGGCGCGTGAATTGAGATTACTTAAAATATAATCATAGTAAGAGACTTGCTCGATATATGATATATCGACACATAAGTAAACATTATACCAATATTTTTTAATATACACTGAAACTACTCATCTAACTTCTGAGTGATATAAGCTCCCTCAATCCATATTGGCTACATATATACCATTTGCCTTCCGCCTACAGGGCATCTTTCAGTCATCTTCCTTTGCCATATCTCTCCTTGGCTTTTTGCTTTTGGCACGAGCAACAGAAACAGTTAGAGTGCACGACAGCAACCAAGCCCCAAAAATCAACAACAACAACAACAGCAACAACAAAAGAAGGCAAGACAAACGCCCACGCGACTGCAGCGAACCCAAACTCAAAGTCAAGTCGAAAGAACAGCGAACAGAGAGTCGAGTCTGGAGACTGTAGACTTCAGACATCAGACTGTAGATTAGTCTTTGCTATTGGCATTGGACTCGCATATGAGGCGCGCCTCCTACTTCTGCTTCTCTCTAAGTTCTCTAAATCCCCCCCTCTCTCTCTCTCTGTCTCTGTCTTTCTTTGGCTCAGCTTGAAGCCTTTAACTGGGTTATGTCGAGGTCAGCGCCGGGCTCTGGCTCTCTGCATAGGCAATGAGTCGGTCGTCAAACTGTCTGCAAACTGTTTTGCTCGATTGGCAATTAGCTTCGTATCGAGCCAGAGCCAGACAGCTAGCCAAGCTAGCTAGCCAGTCTTCCAGCCAGCCAACTGGCCAAGTAGACAGCCACACACAAAGTTCGCGGCCCAAAAGACAAATGCAATGTTGTTTTTTGCATTTGTTTTCTTCCTCTTTTTTCTTTCAATCAACTCAATTGTTCAATTTTGCTTTTGCAGTTAATTGGTTCTGATTGTTTTCGAGGCGTGTGCTT